GCCCTAGTTTTAGAGTTTATGTGTTTTGTAGTGTTCAACAATTGGCTCACTTGGTCAGTCTCAAGTAGGCCTGGGCTCAAGTTGAGTTGGTTTGGTTTTGAGCCCAACCTGAACACCGAACCGAAGCCTTCGGTGTGCTTTTTTTCCAACCTGAACCCGAACCACATAAGTGAAAAACCGAACACTTCGGGTAACTGAACTTTATGGTTTTGTTTGGGGCAAATGGGCAGTTTTGTTGACTTCAAATTATGCCCATTTCTTTCAGCACAAAACATAATATTCAACTCAAACATGGGCAACTAAAAATCATTTTTAAGCACATTCCATCTATCTTATACATAGCTAAAAGCTAGGCATCCATTCATCCTCCTAAATATCCATCATTAAATCAAAGGTTCAATCCCATTACAAAGCAGCAATATCTTCAAGCAATATTCATTCCATTAATTTGGCCATTCATCTAGTTCCCATCCACTATGGCAATTACAAATGAAAGGCAAAAACATGAGCAGTCAACCCCAATTTAAATTACAAACCAAATAAAGGGCAGTTTAATATGTTCCATTACATTACAAAAACAAAATATCACAAAAAAATGTAATGGAACATATTAATGGCCCTTCATCTTGACTGCTGCTGTTGCTACGACAGGACTCAAAGTCTTCAATTTAAGGTAGAGACAGAATGATTGATATATATGTTTTCTTTTCCAACCATTTGCAATGTTTCCATTTCTACCACATTGAAAAACATAAATTAATATAAACAAGGTTAAAGCAAAACCAAATACATGAAAAAACAATACAAAGCAAGAAAGTAGCCTTTACTTTTTCATCACTGTCAACAATACCTGTTTCCCTCGCACTTTCAAAATTAGCCTCCACATAAGCTTGGGCAGCAGCTGGATCTTCTTTCTTGTACACCTCGTACAACTTCATTACAAGATCATTTACCCCACTTATCATCGCATTAACTTTATAACGGGGATCAAGAACCACAATAACCACTATTAGGAGTTGGTTCACATCCCCAATATTACCCCAATACTTGTCATACGTAGATTTCATTGAAGTGGACACCTTTTTCATAAAAGGATCCTCACTTGTCATCATTTTCTTCAAGAGATCAACAACTGAGCACATCTCATGGAAGGCTACATGGGAAGTTACCGTCTTATAAGCACTAAGCTTCAAGGTAGCCTCATAAAACCTTTTCAACCTTTGCATATTCCCAATCCACTACACTTGAGGGACTCAATTTTGTTCTTAAACTCCCTTGCATTTCAAGCCTTCTTCTTTTTTTGGCCTTTCATCCTCACGATGTCCAAGGGTTTCCTCAAAGTAAGATGCAAAGTTTGAGTCCTCCTCTTCCAACCTCTGAAAACCTTTTTGCAATTTTAAGGTAGCCTCTAGCTTGTCATAGGTTGAATTCCACCTTGTTTTACACTCCAAAGGCAAAATACCTTTGCTATCAATCTTTTGCAACATCAAACATTGCCTAAACTTGTCCAATCAAGATGGTGAGGATCTTGTCGGCATACAAGCTTTCCAAATACTCTTGATTGAATCATTCAACTCACACAACCCATCAAACACAATCAAATTAGTGATGTGAGCACATCACCTCATATGTAAAAAGTCCCCATTCAACAAAAGAGTGCCCCATTGGCCCAATTGCCTCTTCATATGCCTAATAGCACCATCATTAGCGGTTGCATTGTCAAGTGTGATAGTGAATACTTTTTCTATGCCCCAATCACTCAAACACTTTTTTACAAGTCCCCCAATGGCATCACCCTTATGATTTGTAATTTGACCAAAGTTTAGGATCCCTTTGTGCAAATTCCAGCCATCATCAATAAAATGGGCTGTAAGAAGCATATAATTCACATTTTGTAGTGAAGTCCAAGTGTCCGTGGTAAGAGAGACTCTTTGTGAATTTTGAGATATGACACTCTTGAGTTTTGCCTTTTCTTCTTGAAATAGAGACCAAACATCTCTAGCAATGGTCCTACGAGAAGGTGGATCAAATCTAGATTGTAGCTCTTTCACAAAAAAGTTAAACTCAATCCCTTCCACATGCCTAAAAGGAAGCTCATCAATTATTATCATCTTCAGACAAGCAAGTCTACTTCTCTCTTTGCTATATGTATGTGAAACTAAGCCTCCCTTATCAAATGAAAGAACCTTTTGTTGTTGCACTCTTTCAATGAAGAACCCCCCGTGCATTGAACTTTCAAATGTTGCAATAATGTAGATGTGCAATTTCTTACCGGATCACATGCATAAGATTGATGGCAATAATTGCAAGAAGCTCCAGGTCCTATATCACTCCTTGGTTTAACCGTGTCCTTAGTAAAATGCTTCGAAACATCCGATGCTTTCCTAACAGGTACTCTCTTCTTAGGAATTGGGGGAAGTGTAGATGTTGCCCCTTGAACTAATGGGTCAGTGGTAGCAGTGGTAGGTATAGGACTAGGACTTTCATTTGGGTTGGTGAGAGATGTGTTAATGGCAGGAGTTTGAGAACTTTCTTCCATACTTTGTATTTTCAAGCCTATAGACAGATTTACACAATGAAAAGATTCATAAACACAAGATAAATACATGCACAGATTTTCGCTTTTTCCTACAGACATTGAAAAAAAAAAAATAGCAGAGAGAATAGTAGAGAAAGTAAGAGGAAAATAATATCAAAATTGTGATAACTTAGATTACAGGTTTCATTAAACATTATAAACAGATAACTGAACTGTGTTATTACTCAGATTTGTACATTGATTACATATGAAAAATAAGTTGTGATGGTTTTCAAACATATATTTGTTATTTCTAATAGGGGTGGGCATTTGAACCGGAAAACCGGAAGACCGGACCGAACCGAATAGAAAAAACCGGAAAAGAAACCGGTTGACTAAAAAAGTCAACAAATTGACACCGAACCGGACTGGACCGGTTTGAACCGATTCCAGTTCCGGTTTTACATACTACAGAACCGGACCGGACTGGTTATATTAATTAATTATTTATTTATTTTAAAATATCTTATATTTAAGCCCAATTCGACTTAACCCAAATAAAAAGCCCAACTTTAAAATTCATGTACATTTTATTTTCAAAGCCCATTCCAATCCCACTTAAACTCTCTCTATTTTTTTCCCTTTCTTTTCTCTTCCCAAAGCTCTCTCTCTTCCCAAAGCTTTCTTTCTCTTCCCAAAGCGCCGCACTCTTCCTTCCCACTTCCCCTTTTCTTTTCTTTCCTCTATTCTTTCTTCCCTCTCTTACTTTTCCTCTTCTTTTTGTCACTCTGATCTCTCTCTCCCCCTTCACCTTTTTTTCAAGAGGAATGCTATTCACAATCGCTCAAAAGCGATTGTCTCATGACTTGCTAGACACGTGGATACACAACCGCTTGCTGCATTCTCCTTCCTTTTTTTAATTATTGTTTCTCTTTCTTCTCTCGATTTTGCCTCTCTCTCCTTTTTTTAATTATGTTTTCTCTTTATTCTCTCGGTTGCCTCTTCCTTTCTCTTTTTTAATTCTTTTTTCTCTTTCTTCTCTTCTTCTCTCCGTCCGTCCGTCTCTCTGTCTCTCTATTTTTTTTTTTGGGTAAAAGGAGGAGCAAAAGCCCAGCAACAGAGAGACTACAAAGGAAGAAGGCGAGGTCTGGAGGTGCCAATGGCATCAGCAGCCAGAGTTTCAATAAGAGACGTTGGAGGCAGATCAAAAATTTGAATGCCAGGAGCCAAATCAGCACACATTGCAGCCAAGGCATCCGCAGCAGTATTCATCTCGCGATAGATATGATGGACAACACAGTTCCAATCACCATGAATCTTTAGTTTGCAATAATTGATGACATTAGAGAGAGGATGGTTGGCTCCAGTCGGGTTGTTAATTAAGTCCACAGCAACAATGGAGTCACACTCAATCTCCACAAGCCGAATCCCAGCATCCCAAGCTAAAGAGAGCCCCCAGAAAATGCCCCATAATTCTGCCTCAAGGATAGAACCCACTCCCAATTTTCCAGTAAATCCCTTGAGCCAAGCACCATCAGCATCTCTTAATAAACCACCAGCACCAATCTCTCTCTCTATTTCATCTGGGTAGCTCTAGTTTTTAGTTTTCTTATTGATTCATTACTGGTTTGGGGGAAATATTTGCTTTTTATTTTTCGTGATCCCTCTCTTGTGCTCTTGTTCATAAAGTGGGTATCTTTGGTTTTGGTTAATTTCGTGATTTGAATTGTCATGTCTTTGGGTGTTTGAAACCTGTGACCTGTGAAATAAGGAGGAGGAGAGAAGAGAGAGAGAGCGATGGAAAATGAAAATAGAGATGGAGACAGACTGAGAGAAGAAGAAGAATAAAAGAGAGAGAGAGGCGGAGAGAAGAAGAAGAGAAGAAAGAATTAAAAAAGAGAAAGAGAGAGGTAACCAAGAGAAGAAAGAGAAAACGTAATTAAAAAAAGAGAGAGAGGCAAAATCGAGAGAAGAAAGAGAAACAATAATTAAAAAAAGGAAGGAGAATGCAGCAAGCGGTTGTGTATCCACGTGTCTAGCAAGTCATGAGACAATCGCT